GAGAGAATCATCGATCAGCTGCCTTTTGCACACCCCCTATCGGGGATATGCCCGCAACCAAGATAGATGCCCTTGACCGGAATCGAACCCGGGACCTTTCAGTCCCCAAGCCGATGCTCTATCCATTGAGCCAAACCGGTTTCAGCTGGATTTTCTTAATTTTAAGTATCATTAACCTATTGGAATGTATGTCAAAGGCAGAACAATATGATTTTTATTTTTTTATTAAGGTTTATGTGTACATACCTTACAATCCCCCTCACTCTCTCCCTAGAGTTTTGCGTCCATTAGTTATGCTTATATTCATGCATACAAATCCTTCAGTTGATCTCTTATCTCCCCCATATCTCTCTACCTTCCCCACTGTAATTTGACAGTCTGTTTCTTTATTGTCTCTATATCTATCTTTTTGTTCATCAGTTTATAATGTTCCTTATTATCCATAAATGAGTGAAATCATGTAGTATTTTTCTTTCATTGACTGGCTTATTTCACTCAGCATGATGTTCTCCAATTCCATCCAGGTTGCTGCAAATGATAAGAATTCCTTCCTTTTTATGGCAGCATAGTATTACATTTGTAGATGTACCCTAGTTTTTTGATCCAGTCATCTGCTGATGGGCTCCTAAACTGTTTCCAAATCCTAGCTATTGTAAATTGTGCTGCTATGAACATAGGAGTACATAGATCCTTTTTGATTGGTGTTTCTAGTTTCTTAGGATATATTCTATGAGTGGGATTACTGGGTCAAATGGGAGTTCCATTTTCAGTTTTTTAAGGAAACTCCATACTGTTCTCCACAGTGGTTGCACCAGTTTGCATTCCCACCAGAGGTGCATGAGGGTTCCTTTTTCTCCGCATCCTCGCCAGCATTTGTCCTTTGTTGATTTGTTGATAATAGTCATTCTGACAGGTGTGAGATGGTACTGCATTGTTGTTTTGATTTGCATCTCTACAATATGATTTTTAGTCATGCAGTTTCTATTGGGGCACCATTCCCAAGGCTCCTTTCCCTTAAGCAGTGGTCCTTATCTTTTGAAAAGTCACAGATTTAAGAATCTGACAAAAGCTATGGAGTCACATAGAAACTAAATAACCAAGAACACACACACACACACACACACACACTTTAGCACAGTTTCAGGGACTTGGAAATCCAGTCTTATCCTTGGATCCCAGGTACTATTTTAAAGGCCTCCAGTCCCAAAATGACTCTGCCTTTTATAACACATTCTATTGATTCCTTGCCATCAAAACTTTAAATGATTCCCTCAGTGCCATTAATCTCAACTAGACCATAAGAAAGCAGTGTAGAAGGTCACACGCAAATTAGAACAATGCTGAAATGAGAATCACAAAAACTAGATTTGGGTCGAAGCTGTGTCACTAATATATTTAACTTTATGTAAGTCACAACCTCATTCTGAACTGGTGTCTCCTTAGATGTGACTGAGGAAGTTGGAATAAACCAAGTGTTAATACTTCTGAAGGAGAGCACTATTCTTTTATTTAGTGAATACTTAAGTATCTTACACGTGAGATAGTGGGGAAACAAATAAAAATGAGGCAACCCTCAAGGATAAACAAATAGAGAGTTATAATAAAACAATGTGACTAATTCTCTAATAAAATACAGAGGGCTCAGGAATCAGAGGAGGAGGAGCATATAACTTTGCCTAAGGAGACTAGAGTATAGTTCCGCTCTGTTTTTTTACCCTTTCCCCCCTAGAGTCTGGTCTTGAAAATGTTGCTCAAATAGATAAGATAGGCCCAGAGCATATACAGCATGTGTAGATTCCAAAGGTGTGAAAAAGCAGACAATTTTCAAGGAAAGTCGAGGGGTTTGATACTAGAGACTGTGCAACCATGTAAAAGCACTGAACACTAAGATTATATAGTAGGAGAATATGTAGTAGACATTGCAAGGGAAGTAGTTTAGAATAAGATAGCTTTGATTTATAAAATCAAAAAGGAATCTGCATAGCACCTGGTACCAAAAATAAGTGGGAACTTTGTTCGCTGGAAAGAGGAGGGAGTCTGTTAGAATCCGGGTGCTCTCCTAAAGGGCCAATACACAGGAGCTTCATCTTGGGAACTCACCCTGAGCTCTAACAGAAGATAGGAGGCTCAGGGCATATGGAAGCCATAAAGAGAAGATCTGGGTGGCATAGTTTCAGAGACCTGGGAAGCCAGCTACGGAGGTCAACTGGAGAAAGTGCACTAGCACTGTCCTCCAAATACGGGCAACACCAACCTGCCAAGCTCAAGTGAGTAATAAAGGACTGTTGGCTGTACCCAATAGGTGCCTGAGGTGTGCTCTTTTACTGAAGCAACTATAGACAGACTCTCAGAGGATCACTGAACTGAGTGGTGTTGGAACGGGGGCCAATCTTTCCCACCTATCACAGGGTAGGCAGGCACCACCCCCAACAAAAGACTCCTTTGTCAGGGTCTCAGGCAGCTGGCAACTACAGAGCTAGGAGGGGGCATGCACCTACACCCCTCCGGAGGTCTGCCTGATCTATCCCCAGTGCCAAGCACACATCCACTGGGGCATTTGGTGGGAACCTTTCAGAGCCTCCTGTCAGGATCTCTGACAGTGGGCTGCCAAGCAAGAAGGCAAGCAGCTCACTCCTCACCCAAGGGCCAGCACCACCCCAAGCAGAAGGCTGCCTTGATTTGTTCCTCTAAGCCAGTGGATCTCAACCTTTCTAATGCCGTGACCCTTTAATACAGTTCCTCATATTGTGGTGACCCCCAACCATAAAATTATTTTCTTTTCTTTTTTAATATATTTTATATATATATATATATATATATATATATATATATATATATATATATATATATATATATTTTACAGAGAGGAAGAGAGAGGAATAGACAGTAACATCGAAGAGAGAGAATCACCGATCAGCTGCCTCTTGCACACCCCCTACTGGGGATGTGCCCACAACCAAGGTACATGCCCTTGACCGGAATTGAACCTGGGACTCTTCAGTCCGCAGGCCAACGCTCTACCCACTGAGCAAAACTGGTTTCGGCCATAAAATTATTTTCGTTGCTACTTCATAACTGTAATTTTGCTACTGTTAATGAATCGTAATGTAAATATCTGTGTTTTCCGATGGTCTTAGGCTCTACAGCAGCGGTTCTCAACCTGTGGGATCAAATCATAGGACTTCCTGAACTTCTTAAAACTAAATGTGAAATTTTTAGTGCATTTTTCTGATAAGAGGGATTATAATTTTCACAGCATGTGTATACATATCAAAATGCTTAACCAAAATGTTAAGTTGAATTAACTTGTGGCATTCTTCTCAAATCTGTACTTTGATATATGACTAGCAACTTGGAGACAGCAGTCTCTGCTGAATCAAATGTAACTGGAAAAGACACAGCTGGCAGGCTCTCGCGGATTCCTACCAGAATTTGCATTTAAAATGTTCTATATTTGGAAAAGTCCTTTAAAGTTAGTGCCCTATCTTAACATATTCTATACCCATGTGAATTAAAATATTACACTTCCCGCTATTGTGCTCAAGAGAAAAATGTTACATTCTGAACATAATGACAAAGAAAACATTTTTTACTGTCATCTAATTAAATGGAATGGGGAAAAACCCAAGACCATCAAGATTTACAGGAAAGCCTTTTTTTCTTTTACTGCACACCGAGTGAACAAACCAGCAGGAAGAGTATTTAACTCACACTCAATTCAATCTTGGGAATAATATGCTAATGATTAGACAGATGAGAATAGGCAATTAGGTCATTTTAAAAGAAATTAAAAAAAGAAATAAAGTTACATTTGAATTAAAAGGTTCTCTGGTTGAGCTAATGAAGCTAGGCAGGAGTTCAACTACATGAGTCCATTTACATGAGTTTCAGAACAGGCGAGACCATCCTATGATGCTAAGAAATCAAAATCGTGGGAACCTATGGGGTGGAGTAGGGCCATGACAATTCCTTCTGGGATGACGGAAAGGTCTTTTATTTATTTATTTATTTTTGAAAGGTTGTTTTGACTTGAGTGGTGCTTGCACAGGCGTATACATTTACGAAACAAGCTTAACCACATACACATAAGATTTTATTGTTCATGAAGAGTGCGCCTCGGTCAAGAACACTGAAAAAAGAGGATGACATCCTATTCATTGAAAACAGCCAAAGCCCAGCCTCATTCCGGGAACCTCTGTGGAGGCCGAGCCACACGCTGAGATGTGGGGCTCCCGGAGGAAAGTAAGACTTGCTGGTCGCCCGGAGCGCTCGCCGCCTCTACGGTGCAGTCACTGCCATTTCGAGAGGCACAGGTCTGTGTATACACACACACACACACACACACACACACACACACCAGGTCTGTATACACACACACACACACACACACACACACACCAGGTCTGTACACACACACACACACACACACACACACACACGGCCAGCCAAAAAGGTAACTGGGAACGGAACTAGGCACGGGGCCGGGCAAGGGATGGCGAAGCCCAGTCCGAAGCCGAAGCGGCGTCAGCTCCCCGCCGAGAGCTCCCAGGGCCCGGGGGTCTCCCCTCATCCCCACCCACTGCCGCATCCCGCCTCATCCCGGCCCTCCCCACAGCGGCGGCCGCCTCTCGGACCGCCCGCCCCACAGCAATCCCCACCGGCCCCACGGTCACCCTCATCCCCGCCCGACCCCGCGGCCGACGGCGCACCCGCCCGCGCCACCAGACGCCGCTGTGGTGCCGCCTTCCGGGATTAACTCTGCGCTTGCGCTTCCGAGAAAATCCCCGCCCTCCCCAACACACACCTCATTAAAGTCTTTTTTTTTTTTTCCTTCCCAAAAGGGAACCGAGAATCGGTCGGCGCAGGCGCAGCCCTGACGCGGCCCGCGCGCCACCACTTCCGCCCTGAGCGGGAGGCGGGGGGACGCGGGAGGGAGCCGGCGGGCGCGAGCCCGGGTCCGCGGAGGAGTCCGGCGCCCGCGGCGCGAGCCCTTGACTCACCAAGTACAGCTGCTGCCAACGGTTTTGAGCATCCAGCTCCTCAAACTCCCGCTCGATGGTGGCAGACATGGCCGCTGGAGCGAGCTGGCGCGAGTGGCGGCGCTGTGCCGGCGGAGAGGCTCAGGCCCCCGCACGGTCCGGGGAGAGTGCTGGCGCCGTGGCGCATGCGCGCTCCGCGCCCCGCCCCGCCCCCACGCCGAGCCGGCCAGACCGCGGGGAAAGTACCTGGAGCGTCTGACGTCAGCGCGCCGGGGATCGCGTTGCCGAGTGCGGCGGCTGCGGGGCGGGACTCCTGGGACTCACAGGGGAGGCGTGGTCCTGAGGGAGCGGGGAGTAGGTGAAAAGGGGTGGAGCCAAGGGGACCCACCCAGAGGTTGCTGTCCCGGGTCCTGGGGGGGGGGGTGGGCCCGCACCCTGGACTCACCAGAAATGACCCCAGGAAGGAGGTGTAGAACCGCGAGGTTCGAACGCATGGAGCAGGCCAAGGAAGTGCCTTATCACCCCTTCGTGCTTGCTTCCCCGTTGCTTTATTTTAACCATCGTCTAGATCAGTTTAGAGAGGCTTGTGTCCCAACTTTGGAAAGAAATTCCTCAGCCTTCTTGGAGAATATTAATCAGCCCTGATGGCAGCTCTGTAACTAATGCTTCAGGGTGTGATGACAAATCGCTATAGCCCAAGGAGTGGCCACATCTCTCGGAATTAGGGAGAATACAGATTGTGTTATGCAATTTGAAAATTAGTGTTACCTGTAGGTAAACTCGTGGTTATAATTTATTTTGTCTCCATAAGAAATGTGAAGTTTTTTTTTTTATCAGCTAAGTAAATTTGAAAATCTAAATTGGCTTTTTAAAAAAATGTTTTTACTGATTTCAGAGAGGGAGAGAAACAGCAATGACGAGAAACATCCTGCACGTCCCACTGAGGATTGAAGCTGTGGCGGGTGGTGGTTGGATGGGGTGGGAGTGGAGGGGGGCATGTGCCCTGATTGGGAATCGAACCGCTGACCTCATTCATAAACTGATGTTCAACCACTAAGCAACACCAGCCAGGCTAAAAAGGCTTTATTAAACAATAAATTGGACATCATCCCATCTAGCAATTAGAAAGGAGGTCTGAGGGGTAGGTTTGTTCTTTGTTTTGTTTTTTAAGAAAGGGAAGTGGGGCAAGGGACCTATTAACAAAGAAAAAGGATTATCTTCACACCAGGACTTCTTTTTCTGGAGGTTAGGAAGATGGCTAGGGTTTTTATCATAAAGATCTGCTCTTCTTTGCAAGTGGGGATGGAGTGTTTGGAGAGATTATCTCAATGATACTGATCAGAAAAATTCCAGAAATGTTGATTATGTTTCTGGTAGAGGTTGAGACAGCAATTAGGTAAGGTATTAAATCTGGATTTGGTATTTTGGGTTTTGGCACAAGTGATACAATTTTGTTGAAATTTATTTTTCAATTACAGTTTACATTCAATATTATTTTGTTTCAATTTCAGTTGTACAGCATAATGATTAGACAGTCATATACTTTACAAAGAGACCTCCCCTACTCCCTGATAAATCTACCCATCTGACACCATTCACAGTTACTGCATTATTGACTATATTCCCTATGCTGTGTTTCACATCCTCATGACTATTTTGTTACTACCAATTTGTACTTTTTTTTTTTAATATATTTTATTGATTTTTTACAGAGAGGAGAAGAGAGGGATAGAGAGTTAGAAACATCGAGAGAGAATCATCGATTAGCTGCCTCTTGCACACCCCCTACTGGGGATATGCCCTCAACCAAGGTACATGCCCTTGACCGGAATCGAACCTGGGACCTTTCAGTCCGCAGGCCGATGCTTTATCCATTGAGCCAAACCGGTTTCGGCCCAATTTGTACTTCTTAATCCCTTCACCTTTTTCACATATCCCCTCACCTCCTCCTCCCATCTGGCAACCAACAACTTGTTCTCTGTTGAATTTTGTTTGATAAATTTTATTTTTTAACAAGCCAAATCTCACCCTGGCAGTAGCTCAGTTGGGTAGAGTGGTGTCCTGATATGCCAAGATTGTGAGGTCTGTGGTAGGCAGTTAGACATGAGCAGAGCCTTAGGTGCCTAGCAAAGGACAAAACGTAGCCCTAGCCCAGTGGTTGGCAAACTCATGAGTCAACAGAGCCAAATATCAACAGTACAACCATTGAAATTTCTTTTGCGCGCCAAATTTTTTAAACTTAAAACTTCTAAAACTTCGTCTACCACCACTTCTTCAAAATAGACTCACCCAGGCCGTGGTATTTTGTGGAAGAGCCACACTCAAGGGGCCAAAGAGCCGCATGTGGCTCATAAGCCGCAGTTTGCCGACCATGGCCCTAGCCTGTTTGGCTCAGTGAATAGAGCATTGGCCTGTGAACAGAGGTGTCTTGGGTTTGATTCTGATCAAGGGCACATGCCAGGGTTTCGAGCTCAGTCCCCAGTGGTAGTGTGCAGGAGGGTTATTTTAAAGATAAAATAAGGCTTATTTTAAAGATGAAATAAGCCCTAGCTGGTTTGGCTCAGTGTATAGAACGTTGGTCTGCGACTCAAGGGTCTAGGTTAGATTCTGGACAAGGGCACATGCCTGAGTTGCAGGCTCGGTCCACAGTAGAGGGCGCGTAGGAGGCAGCTAATCAATGATTCCTTCACATCCTCTCCCTTCCTCCCTAAAATCAATAAAAAAAAATATTTTTTTTTAAAAAGATAAAATAAAATAGGACTGTCAGTTATCCGCCCCGCCCCCCCCAAAAAAGGACAAAATGTACGGTGGAACCTTGCTTCCAGGGTGACCTTTCCTCCCCTAGCATATCGATGGTCATGGGGTTTGGACCCCCCTGACTTTTCCTCCCTAGAGATAATGTTTAGACCTCAGTTGTATTTCAGCTCTAGGCCCAGAAGAGCAACAAAACCAGCCACAGCTGTCTCAGGATAAGCTACATTGAATAAGAATCCCCTGTCCTGGTGCCCACGAATCAATCAGTGGAGACCTAGATCCTGAATGGACACAATTAGAAAGTTACTGAATATTCTACTGAGATGATCTCTTGAGACCTCACCTAAAATCTCCACCTTAAGACCCTTAGAACCTTGGATTGGGGCCATTCCCTGCCCCATCCTCCTCCCCACCCCAGGCAGTTTACCATTAGCTTCCTCACTCCCTAACTCCTAGAGTCCTTCCTTCATCTTCCTTTACCACTGTAACGTATTTGTTAACCTCTTTTCTTCTAGGAATTACTTTTTCTACCTCTGTGGTTAACCAAATAAATGTTCTATTATAGTTTGGGCCATGGCTCTGAATTCTTTCCTAGCCAGAACCAAAGTACGGCTTGGATTGCTGAACCCAAGACCAGTGTGACCCATCAGTCTTAAGGAGGAAACTGGTCTCGCAAAGTGTGTCAGGCCATAAAAACAGGACCAATGCACTGTCCTGGGTGGGGGTGGGGAGTCCGTTATCGCTGGCCTCAGAACAGATCATCGGATATGGCCTGGGGACCCCCCAACACCTGGGGACATCTTGTAAGCCCACGAAAGGGGGCGGAATCATATCTGCAAGACAAAGACTCAGAAGGCTATAAAAGTGAAGCCCTGTGAAACCGGTTTGACTCAGTGTGCCCACCCAAGGGTCCCAGGTTCGATTCCGGTCAGGGGCATGTACCTTGGTTGTGGGCACATCCCCAATAGAAGGTGTGCAGGAGGCAGCTGATCAACGTTTCTCTCTCTGGATGTTTCTAACTCCCTATCCCTCTCTTTTCCTCTCTGTAAAAAATCAATAAAATATATATTTTTAAAAACTTAAAAAAAAAAAAAAAAAGTCCTCTACGTGTGTCCTCCCTCTGATTTGGAAATTATTCCCGGAGTCCACTGGTGTCAATAAACGAGGTCCCTCCCTTTCTCTAGAAGTGTGCTTGGTATTTCTTTGGTCTTCTGCAACATTCTAACACGTGGTGCCCTTCCTGAATTCAATTCTATCTCCAATCAGGGCATATACAAGAATCAACCAAAGAATGTATAAATAAATGAAATAAATCTCTCTTTCTCTCTCTCTCTCTCTCTCTCTCTCTCTCTCTCTCTCTCTCTCTCTCTCTCTCTTCCCCCCCTTTTTCTCCCTCTCTCTCCCCCCCTTGCTTTACTAGTAAAAATCAAATAATAAAAACAAGCCCAATCTCACTCCCACCACAAGACTCATTGCAGTAGTCTCTTTAGTTGTCACAATAGTTCCTTCACATCATTATCCTCAAAAAACATAATAAAATTTTTTCTTAATTTTATTTATTTATTTTAGAGGAGAGAGATGAAATGGAGAAAGAAACATGGATTTGTTGTTCCACTTATTTATGCACTCATTGGTTGCTGCTTTTATGTGCTCTGACTGGGGATCAAACCCCCAACCTTGGCGTATTGTGATGATGCTTTAACCAACTAAGCTACCCTACCAGGGCCAATACTTTTTTTCTTTTAACAAATTAAAATTTTAGGCCCTGCCTGGGTAGCTCAGTTGCTTAGAGCATTGTCTCAATATGCCAAGGTGTTCAACCCCCAGTCAGCACATACAAGAATTAACCAATGGCCAACACCGGTTTGGCTCAGTGGATAAAGCGTTGGCCTGCGCACTGAAAGGTCCCAGGTTCGATTCCGGGCAAGGGCACGTACCTTGGTTGCGGGCACATCCCCAGTAGGAGGTGTACAAGAGGCAACTGATCGATGATTCTCTCTCATCGATGTTTCTAACTATCCCTCCCTCTTCCTCTCTGTAAAAAATCAATAAAATATATATATTTTTAAAAAAGAATTAACCAATGAATACATAAATAAATAGAACAGCAAATCTATGCTTCTCTCCTCTTCCTCTCTGTAAAATTAATAAAAATGTATATTTTTTAACTCAGTTCCTGAGTTGCACTAGTGTGAACAAAAAAGGGTTTTTGTGTAGCAAATCAGACCAAAAGTTAACTCAAGGGTGATCTGTTCATAAAATTCCTAACTGTGCAGGTCATGGTGGGTATCACTTCCCAGTCCTATAAAAAGGTTTATTTTTGCCTTCACCAAGCC